GGGACCCCGGACTTCTTATCAACCTGCCTAGGAATTGACTCTCAATAGGAGCCAGAATATGTGCTGAGACCTGCCTCAGCATTTCTCACTGATTACAGGGGAGAAGAGAGGGGACAGAAACTAGCAAGGGCTTTTTCAAGTCACTGTATCAAGTTTGCTGTAATCCCATGGTCGCATCCAGAGAGAGTATGTGGGAGGGGGTGCCACCAAGAGGTATAGACAGGGCAGGGGAGTAGGAGGAACCGGGGCAATCAATAGAATCGATGTGCCTGAGTCTGCTCTCTGATCACAATTACTCATGCCTCTCCCACGTGCAACATACATGCATCCCAGTCCTTGGACACCCATTGTTTCATCTAGTTACTGTATCGGGCTCAAAGTCCAGAATCTTGTGACCTAGATCAGGTCAAGATGCACCTTCTACAGACACCAACAAATGAAAAAGACAAGTTGTCTCTTCTCAACACACCTGGTGCATGAGGGTGAGACAGGGACAGTCCATATGCAAGAAAGGCTTCTATTTGAAAACGCAAAGACTAGAACACAGATAACGCATGCACGCTAAGTCACTTCAGTTGTGTCCTACTCTCTGTGACCCTGTGGGCTGCAGCTTGCTAGGCTCCTCTGTCCATGGGATTCTCCAGGCAAGAAGACTGGAGTGGGTTGCCGTGCTCTCCTCCAGGGGATCAAACCTGTGTCTCTTATGTTGCCTGCATTGGCAGGTGGATTCTTTACCACTAGCGCCACTGGGAAACCCAACACAGATAGTAGGGACTGGTTATACCAGTCCTGAAATTAGTGCCTGGCGTCCGCCCCCTACTCAAGGGAAGTGTTCGATGACAAGGCCATTCCTCTTCTCTGGCAGAGCTTCTCCCACCTCATTCTCCGTCCTGTCCTAAAACATTCTTTTTCATTGCTTCCTTGCATACTCTCAAAGAATGAGAGTTAGCAGCTTTGTAGCTTTCTGATTAGTAGAAAGATGATGGCCTGAAATACACCACCGTTAAACACATTGTGTTGTTTCTATATATCTAATCATAGTCCACTCTGAAACATCGCAGTGTCAAGAACTGTGAAGGGTCAGGAATTTTGCTGACTTGCAAACTTACAGATGAGTCTGCCACAATCAACTAGGCCTGGTATAGACACAAGACTCCAGGCTAGTGACAAAGGACTTCATTGGAGCATAACAAGGAGCCTGTGCTTCATGTTTGTGTCAGTTTCACCTGCCCTCCGTCCCCCAAGTCTCAATAGGGTGAGGCAGAACTATCCAGGTAGATACTTGCTCGCAGTGGGTCTGCGTCACAGATGAAGACTTGGATTTAAGGAACTTGGGAACTTCCATGACGAATGATAAGCAAGCCTACCTTTTCTCTGTGTGCATGCTTTGTCGCTCAGTTTTGTTCAACTCTTTGCGACCCTTTGGGCTGTAGCCTACCTGGATTCTCGGTCCATGGGATTTTTCAGGCAAGAATATTGGAGTGGGCTGCCATTTCCTCCTCCAGGGGATCTTCCCAACCCAGGGATGGAACCCACGTCTCCTGTATCTCCTGCATTGCAGGCATATTCTTTACCCTCTGAGCCACTGGGGAAGCCCTGCTTTTTTCTCTGTAGGAAATGTTATTTCATTGGATAAGAAACAGATCTGCGCTTTGCTCCAGGAGACCCATTCTCCATTTTCCAAGATCATTTGCCCCACAAACAGCCTTGAATTAGCATCTCTGCTCTTAGCAAGTGCAGAAATGTGACACTTCTCTCCCAGTAAAATTCACTCCTCATATCTACACTGCCCCACCAGCCACTGAGCAATCTGACCAGTAGTATTTGCTAACAGCTTGGCTCTAGAAGCCAGGATGCACCGCAGGTCTGTGTTGCGAACAGTTAAAAACACAGGGATGTCAGTCAAGGCAGAGAGCCTGTAGGTTAAGGAGAGAAGTCCAGGTGGCTCTGGGTATCAGTCTGAGGTGTCAACCAGATGCTCAGGTGGAGATGTTGAGTTGGACACACAGCCTGGGGCTTGGAAGACAGGTCCTGGCTGGCAGCTAAAGATCGGAGTTGGCTGCAAAGGGACCATTTTAGTGCTTTGGGGTGGGATGAGATCACCAGGCAATGAGTACGAGGGGCCAAAGGACAAGCCCTGGGGCCTGGCAATGTCACCGGTCAGGGAAACCCTAGGAGACCCAGAAGGGCCCCCAATAAAGTAGGATGGAGCTGGGAGACCATGGTTTCCTGCAAGCCTTCCAAGAAGGTGCTTGCAGCAGGAAGGACTGTTTATTTGACTTTCATGCTGCTGACACATCAAGGAAAACGAGGTTGGATTTCTCAGTGTGGTGGTTGTTTGAATTCCCTCACTTTGCACAGAGATTAAAGAGTAACTGATCAATGGGGCTTCTCAGTTGGTATTAGTGGTAAAGAACCCACCTGCCAATGCAAGAGACATAAGAGATGCAGGTTCGATCCCTGGGTCAGGAGGATGCCCTGGAGGAGGGCATGGCAACCCACTCCAGTATTCTTGCCTGGAGAATCCCCATGGATAGAAGAGCCTGGTGGGCTAGAGTCTATAGGGTCCAAAGAGTCAGACATGACCAAAGCAACTTAGCATGCACACAACAGATCAGTAATTATTTCAAGGTTTAGGATTTGTGATTTTATTCATGCCAGTGGATCATGAATGTGTATGGTGGTGGTTTCTGGAGGAAAGTAAACAGCGTAATCCACACAGATGACTTCTTCTGATTTCTCTTTTCCAACGCAACGGAGACTTCTCTCAGTGTTGTAGTCAAGTCTCGTGACCTTCATTGCAGCCTTGGAGGGGGCAGAGAGAAGAAAGTGTGAGAAGATGAAAATAGAGAGGGGTACTGACTGCTTCCAGAGCAGCCTGGTATTCCTGTTTTTTTAGGGAAGCAGGATGCATGATGCAGCTTGGATTCCCCCTGGGACTCTCCAGATAAATCAGAGTTCAAGAAAAACTCGGACTGAATTCAGCTTGGCCAAGAGCCTCCAATGAGAGGAGGAACTGATTTTGCACACTTCAGTTGGCTCAATGGTAAAGAATCTGCCTGCTAATGCAAGAGATACAGGAGACTCAGGTTCAATCCCCGGGTCAGGAAGATCCCCTGGAGAAGGAAATATTAACCCACTCCAGTAGTCTTGCCTGGGAAATCCCATGGAAAGAGGAGCCTGGTGGGCTACAGTCCGTGGAATTGGAAAGAGTCAGACATGACGAGCACGCATGTGCAGACACACACACACACACATCACCCACGTCTGTGGAGTTCTTTGAAATAATCATCTGACGTCAGTCTATCTCGTTGCTGGTGATCCAGTCTGTGGTCCACCCCCTTCCATTAAATACAGCCGCCACAACGATTTTGGAACATGAAAACCATCTCTAGCCCCTATCTGGTGATGTATTTAATAAAGCACAATCTAACGCTGCTTAAATAATCTCCAGTATAATAGAAGCCTTGTCTCAGCATAATCTGCAAGTGACATTTTATAATTCATGAAACCCCATGGCAATGTCGCTCTTCATTAGCGCCTCAGAAAAGCAAAGGAAGGGAGATGAAAGGCAAAGCTGACCGACACCTGTTAACACATCTCTGCTGGTTGATCTGAGTCCTCCAGGCTTTCACAACAGCAGAGCCGAGAGAGAGGGAGGGAACGGACGGGTTCTGAAGAAGCCAGGTCAGTGTTGTTTCTTTTGATATGTGTAATTTTTTTTCCATTTATTTTTATTAGTTTGAGGCTCATTACTTTACAATATTGTAGTGGTTTACCCCATGGAATATTACTCGGTCAGTGTTGTTTCTTTCAGGAAAAGATAACTTCCAGCCAGGAACGTCAGACTTGCTTATTTAGGAAAAGGACAAACAAAATGAACTAAAACCTCCCTCTCCTTTCTCCATCCTCAGGGCCATTGGAAATGCATTCACTCCCCTTTCACCTGAATTCCACCCTAAAAAGAAGCTACTGTGATTAACCAGAGGAGCAGGGACAAATGCTTCTTAAATCCTCATAGTGTACGTGGCGCTGCCTAGACACAGTTATATTTGTCATTTCATGTCCCCTTCTTTTGTTTTATGTGTGTCTCCTTTTTAAAAAATTTTTGGACACAGCCTACAGCACACGGGACCTTAGTTCCTCCACCAGCAATCGAACCCAGGCCCCTGCATTGGAAGGTGGATTCTTAACCACTGGACCACCAGGGAAGTTCCTGCTTTGTTTTCTTTATTTTAAAAATTGAAATATAGGTGATTTACAATTGTCGTGTTAGTTTCAGGTATGCAGCAAATTTATTCAATTATATGTATACATATATCCTTTCTTTTCCGGATTCTTTTCTAATATATGTTATTATAAGATATTGAGCTAGTTCCCTGTACTATACAGTAAGGTCTTGTTGGTTGTCTATTTTATAGATAGTAGTGTCTACATAAAGAAGGCTAAGCCCTGAAGAATTGATGCTTTTTAAGTGTGGTGCTGGAGAAGACTCTCGAGAGTCCCTTGGATGGCAAGGAGATCCAACCAGTCCATCCTAAGGGAGATCAACTCTGAATATTCATTGGAATAACTGATGCTGAAGGGGAAGCTCCAATATTTTGACCACCTGAAGGAGCTGACTCATTGGAAAAGACTCTGATGCCGGGAAAGATTGAGGGCAGAAGGGGCCAACAGAAGATGAGATGGCTGGATGTCATTTTCAACTCAATGGACATGAGTTTGAGCAAGCTCCGGGAGATGGTGGAGGACAGGGGACCCTGGTGCACTGCAGTCCATAGAGTTACAAAGAGTCAGACAGGACTTAGCGACTGAAAAAGAGCATATGTTAATCAAACTTGTAATTCATCCCTCCCCGATTTCATATCCTTGAAGCAGGCCTAGGAAGAGCCTGTTTTATGATACAGATGCGTTGAGTAGAACTTCACTCTGCTAAGGAGCAGATTTAGTTTTGCCCATCCTGCCCTGCCCGGGGCTGGGGATATGAGGTTCTGGGCCTCATGGCTGGAACCACCAGCAGACAGGGAAAGGTGCACCCACTGGAGACTGGATTCAGCCTCGTTGGGAGGGAAACAGTCCAGAAGAACCGGGTTCCTGGCCTCAACGGCTCCATCTTGGCCACAGCTGGGGAACCTGGACACGGAGTGGCAGCCTTTGGCCAGGCCAGGGTGACACGCGGCCAGGCTGTGCAGTCTCGTCTCTCTCAGCTCTGCCCCCGGGTTTCCATCACAGGCTCTCACGCGCTGTGCCTCTTAGCTCTGGACCCATGTCCCCTGATGCTCCTCCTAAATCTGAACTCGGCAGCCTCTGTGGGCACCTGTTTCCTGCTGGGCAGGTTTGGAAACCGTGGGCTGGCGGCTGGGCCGACAGAGCAAGGGTCTGAGACTCAAGTCCTGGAGGAAAGGGAGTTAGAGGCCATGAAGGCCGTGGCTCAGAGACAGTCAGGCTGAGGATGTCTGCAGGTGTTTTGTGAAGGGCAAACTACAAGCTACATGGCCAGCCAGAGACCTGGCAGCTGAACTGGGCTGCGGACGGCAACGCGGGATTTGGAAGTCTGTCTGCTGGGCATTCAGCTCCTCCAACAAGCCTGGTGGGGCCCAGCCAGGTGCTGTTGAAGTGCTAGGAGGACTGTCGCAGAGCTCATCCACCTGCTGCCTCATCTCCTGATCCAGACAGCATCACCCACTAGGCCAGGCCATAGACCTGATCGCTAGTGCTGTGTGCCAGCCAGCCAGCCAAGACCAAGCCTGCCTTCAGGGCTGCCCAGCCAGGCTGGCTTCTGGGCTTGTCCATGGAGAGGTGGAGGGGGTCCCAGGATGCCTCCACCTTTGGGAGGTGCCACTGAACCACCAAGGAAGTCCCAGCTTAGATGTTTTAAAAAAATATTTATCTATTTATATGACTTCTTGTTGTTCAGTCTCTCAGTCATGTCCGATTCTTTGAGACCCCGTGGACTGCAGCACGCCAGGCTTCCCTGTCCTTCACCTTCTCCCAGAACTTGCTTAAACTCATGTCCATTGAGTCAGTGATGCCATCCAAGCATCTCGTCCTCTGTCGTCCCCTTCGCTGCTGCCTTCAATCTTTCCCAGCATTCGGGTCTTTTCCAATGAGTCAGTTCTTCGCATCAGGTGGCCAAAGTGTTGGAGTTTCAGCTTCAGCATCAGTCCTTCCAATGAATATTCAGGATTGATTTCCTTTAGAATGGACTGGTTTGATCTCCTTGCACTCCAAGGGACTCTCAAGAGTCTTCTCCAACACCACAATTCAAAAGCATCAATTCTTCAGTGTTCAGCCTTCTTGATGGTTCAGTTCTCACATCCATACATGACTACTGGAAAAACCATAGCTTTGACTAGATGGACCTTTTTTGGCAAAGTAATGTCTCTGCTTTTTAATATGCTATCTATGTTGGTCATAGCTTTTCTTCCAAGGAGCAATCATCTTTTAATTTCATGGCTGCAGTCACCATCTGACTCAAGAAATGGAGCTTAAGGAAATGAAGTCAGCCACTGTTGCCATTGTTTCCCCATTTATTTGCCATGAAGTGATGGGACCAGATGCCATGATCTTCATTTTTGAATGTTTAAGTTTTAAGCCAATGTTTTCACTCTCCTCTTTTACTTTCATCAAGCGGCTCTTTAGTTCCTCTTTGCTTTCTGCCATAAGGGTGGTGTCATCTGCATATCTGAGGTTACTGATATTTCTCCCGGCAATCTTGATTCCAGCTTGTGCTTCATCCAGTCCAGCATTTCTCATGATGTACTCTGCATATAAGTTAAATAAGTAGGGTGACAATATACAGCCTTGACATACTCCTTTCCCAATTTAGAACCAGTCTGTGGTTCTGTGTCCGGTTCTAACTAATGCTTCTTGACCTGCATACAGATTTCTCAGGAGGCAGGTAAGATGGTCTGGTATTCGCATTTCTTTAAGAATTTTCCACAGTTTGTTATGGTCCTCCACATTATTTATTCTGGAGAAGGAAATGGCAACCCACTCCAGTATTCTTGCCTGGAGATCCCATGGACACAGGAGCCTGGCAGGCTACAGTCCATGGGGTTGCAAAGACTCGGACACAACTGAGCAACTCACACCTTCACATTTTAGAACTCAGAATGCCACGGTTTGACTCCTATTCTCTGAGCTCTGCTGTGGCAGGCAACACACTTTAAGCTTCTGAACCTTGTTTGTTTTCTCTTTTGTAAGATAAAGAAACTAGGATCTGCCTGGATGGGTTGTTTTAAGGATGAAAGGCTGTGATTCGTGTGAGATGCGTATCCACAGTGTATGTGCCCATGTCTCCCCTAGGGCAGTGGTTCAGCACTCATGACTCCGTGTTTGTGGATTAGTAACACGAGTAATGAGAATGGGCTCCATGGGGTTTAGAGGTCTCCAGCCAGAGAAGCTCCTGAGAGGTGGACAGCTGTCAGGGGGGACACACTTCTGTCCCCTGAGGACTGGGTTTGTGTGGGAAAGGAGGAGGAGTGTTGAGGAGTGTCTTAGCTCAGACTGCACAACAAATTACCACAGACCGAGTGGTTTAAAAACCACTATTTTATTTCTTTTTTTAAAAAAAAAATTATTTTTAATTGAAGGATGATTGCTTTACAATATTGGTTTGATTTCTGCCATACATCAACATCAATTGGCCATAGGTGTACATATGTCCCCTCCGTCTTGAACCTCCCCCCCCCCCGACTTTTTCCCACTCTAGGTTCTTACAGAGCCCCAGTCTGAGTTCCCTAATTTCAGCAAATTTCCATTGGCTATCTATCTACATAGGTTACTGCATTTGCATCCATGCTACTCTCTCCATTCATCTCACCCTCTCCCTCCTCCCCCTCACCCCTCCTTGTCCTCACATCTGTTCTCTATATCTGTGTCTCCACTGCTGCCCTGCAGATAGGCTCATCAGTATCATCTCTCTAAATCCCATATATATGCGATAATATATGATATTTGCTTTTCTTTTTCTGACTGACTTCACTCTGTATACTAGGCTCTGGGTTCATCTAATGAATTGACTCCAGTGCATTTTTATGGCTGAGTAGTATTCCATTGTATATATGTATCACAGCTTCTTTATCCATTCATCTGTTGATGAACATCTAGGTTGCTTCCATGTCATAGATGTTGTAAATAGTGCTGCAATGAATATTGGGGAACATGAGTCTTTTTCAGTTTTGGTTTCCTCATGGTGTATGCCTAGAAGTGATATTGCTGGGTCATATGGTAGCAAAACTCACACATTTATTTCTTAAAGTTCTGGAGTCTGGGAACTCTGAGGTCATGTTGCTGGTTGACTCGGTTTCTGGTAAGACTCTTTTTCTGGCTTGAAGATGGCTATCTGCTCCTTGAATCCTTGTATGGCAGAGAGAGAGCGGATGCAAGCCCTATCGTGTCCCTTCTTTGTGACCCCCTGGCTTCAGTAGTTGCCGCACTCGGCTTAGTTGCTCCGTGGCATGTGGAATCTTCTGCAGCGATACTGGCCAGACCAGAGGAGAGCAGTAGTGGTCCAAAGCCTTGCTCCTTGTCTGATGTTATCAACTGAATTGCGTCCCCCCACCACCAACCCCGAATTTGTATATTGAAGACCTAACCCTCAATGTGACTGTATTTAAAGATTGAGTGTTTGAAGATAATTAAGGTTAAATAAGGTCATAGAAGTGGGCTCTAACCCACAAAGATTGGTATCCTTGGGAGAAGAAGAAGAGACACTAGAGGTGTCTCTTTCTTTCCATATGTGCACAGAGAAAGGCTGTGTACAAACACAGGGAGAAGGTGGCCATCTGCAAGCTGAGTAGACTCGTCACACAGAAACCCACCCTGCTGATGCCTTGATCCTGGACTTCCGGTCTCCAGAGGTGTGAGAAAATAAACTCTTTATTAAGTCTCCTAGTCTGTGGTATTTTGTTATAACTGCCCGAGCTGACTTGGAGAAAGCAATGGCACCCCACTCCAGTACTCTTGCCTGAAAAATCCCATGGACAGAGGAGCCTGGTGGGCTGCAGTCCACGGGGTCGCAAAGAGTCGGACACGACTGAGCGACTTCACTTTCACTTTTTCACTTTCATGTATTGGAGAAGGAAATGGCAACCCACTCCAGTGTTCTTGCCTGGAGAATCCCAGGGACGGCGGAGCCTGGTGGGCTGCCACCTATGGGGTCGCACGGAGTCGGACACGACTGAAGCGCCTTAGCAGCAGCAGCAGCAGCAACCCAAGCTGACTAATGGGGCTTCCTTGCTGGTTCAGTGGTGAAGAATCTGCCTGTAATGCAGGATTTTGTAATGGGGGTTTGATCTCTGGGTCAGGAAGAGCCCCTGGAGAAGGAAATGGCAACCCACGCCAGCATTCCTGCCAAGATAATCTCATGGACAGAGGAGCCTGGCGGGCTATAGTCCATGGGGTCTCAAACAGTTGGACACTGTTTGTGTGACTGTGACTAAACAACAACAGTCGGAACAACAGTGACTGAACAACAACGACAACACTGGTACACACTGACTAATACACTGGTGATGAAGGACAGGATCAGGGCTTCTCCCCTCTGGTACCCTGGAGCCTCCTCAGCCTCCACCTAACCCTCCCCCCTTTCTGCTGAGGTCCAGAAATTCCCAGGTATGTGGTCTGGGTGGGATCCATCCTGATCAGTCAGAGCCATTTGCACATTGAATTCTTTGGTCCAGCAGTGAGCATATGGACCCAGCCAGAGAAAACCCAGTGCTCTGGCTCAATGATTGAGGAAAGAGAAGATTCTTCTTCTTGGATATAGATGGAGAAACTTGACCCTGGAGGCTCCTGACACATACCTCGCTACTGTGACTGCTTGAGACAGACCAAGGGGGCATCACAGAGAAACAGAACTACCGTTCTAAAGACATCATGAATATCTGGCTCCAACTGCATTGTCCTACTTCTAGTTATGTGCCAACAAATCACTTTGTTGCCAACAAAGTTCTGTATAGTCAAAGCTATGGTTTTTCCCTTAGTCATGTACGGTCGTGAGAGTCGGACCATAAAGAAGACTGAGTGTTGAACAACTGATGCTTCTGAACTGTGGTGCTGGAGAAGACTCTTGAGAGTCCCTTGGACTGCAAGGAGACCAAACAAGTCTATCCTAAAGAAAAATCAACCCTGAATATTCATTGAAAGGATTGATGCTGAAGCTTCAATATTTTGGCTACCTGATGCGAAGAGATGACTCACTGGAACAGACCCTGATGTTGGGAAAGATGAAGGGTAAGAGGAGGAGGTGAGAGGAAGAGATGGTTGGATGGCATCACCGACTCAATGGACATGAATTTGAGCAAACTCCAGGACATGCTGAAGGACAGGAAAGCTGACTTGCTACAGCCCATGAGGTCTCAAAGAGTTAGACATAACTTAGCGACTGAACAATAACAACAAAATTACTTTCATTGTTTTAGCTGAATGTGTTGTGTTTCTTGTG